GCCATCAGAGGGCAGACAGAATGAAAACCACAATCACAGAAAACTAATCAAACTGATCACATGGACCACTGTCTAACTCAATGAAACTGAGCCATGCCATGTAGGGCCACCCAAAATGAACAGGTCATGGTGGAGGGTTCTGACAAAACGTGGTCCACTGGAGAAGGGAATGGCAAACCACTTCAATATTCTTGCCTTGAGAACTCCACGAAGAGGATGAAAATGCAAAAAGATAGGACACTGAAAGATGAACTCATCAGATTGGCAGGTGCCCAATATGCTACTGGAGAACAGTGGACAAATAACTCCAGAAAGAATGAAGAGATGGAGCCAAAGCAAAAAACAAACAAACAAACAAACAAAAAAAAAAAAAAAACACCCGGTTGTGGTGGTGACTGGTGATGTAAGTAAAGTCTGATATTGTAAAGAATAATATTGCATAGGAATGTGGAATGTTAGGTCCTTGAATCAAAGTAAATTGGAAGTGGTCAAATAGGAAATGGCAAGAGTGAACATTGACATTTTAGGAATTGGTAAATTAAAATGGACTGAATGGGTGAATTTAACTCAGATGACCATTATGTGTACTAATGTGGACAGGAATTCCTTAGAAGAAATGGAGTAGTGCTTATAGTCAAGAAAAGAGTCCAAAATGCAGTACTTGGGTGTAATCTCAAAATGACAGAATGATCTCTGTTCATTTCCAAGGCAAACCATTCAATATCACAGTAATCCAGGTTTATGACCCAATCAGCAATGCTAAAGAAGCTGAAGTTGAATGGTTCTATGAAGAACTACAAGTCTTTCTAGAACTAACACCCCCAAAAGATGTCTTTTTCATTATAGGGGACTGGAACGCAACAGTGGGAAGGCAAGAGATTCCTGGAGTAACAGAAAATTTGGCCTTGGAGTACAAAATGAAGCAAGGCAAAGGCTTAAAAGAGTTTTGCCAAGAGAACACACTGGTCATAGCAAACACTCTCTTCCAACAACACTAGAGAAGACTCTGTACATGGACATCACCAGACGATCAGTATCAGAATCAGATTGATTATATTCTTTGTAGCCAGAGATAGAGAAGCTCTCTAAAGTCATCAAAAACAAGACCAGGAGCTGACTAGGCTCAGATCATCAGCTCCTTATTGCCAAATTCACACATAAATTGAAGAAAGTAGGGAAAACCACTGCACCATTCAGGTATGACCTAAATCAAATCCCTTATGATTATACAGTGGAAGTGGCAAATAGATTCAAGGGATTAGATCTGATAGACACAGTGCCTGAAAAACTATGAATGGAGGCTCATGTCATTGTACAGGAGGCAGTGATCAAGGCCATCCCCAAGAAAAAGAAATGCAAAAAGGCAAAATGATTGTCTGATGAGGGCTTACAAATAGCTGAGGAAAGAAGAGAAGCTAAAGGCAAAGGAGAAAAGGAAAGACATGCATTTGAATGCAGCGTTCCAAATAATAGCAAGGAGGGATAAGAAAGCCCTCTTCAGAGATCAATGCAAGGAAATAGAGGGAAACAATAAAATAGGAAAGACTAGACATCTTTTCAAGAAAATGAGAGATACCAGAAGAAAATTTCTTGCAAAGATGGGTACAATAAAGGACAAAAATTGTATGGCTCTAACAGAAGAAGATATTAAGAAGAATACACAAGAATACAAGAATACACAGAATAACTATACAAAAATGATCCTAATGACCTAGATAACCATGATGGTGGGATCACTCATCAAGAGCCAGACATCCTGCAATGTGAGGTCAAGTGGGCCTTAGGAAGCATCACTACAAACAAAGCTAGTGGAGGTGATGGAATTCCAGTTAAGCTATTTCAAATCCTAAAAGATGATAGTGTGAAAGTGCTGCACTCAATATGTCAGCAAATTTGGAGAACTCAGCAGTGACCACAGGAGTAGAAAATGCCAGTTTTCATTCCAATCTCAAAGAAAGGCAATGTGAAAGAATGTTCAAACTATCGCACAGTTGCATTCATCTCACACGCTAGTAAAGTAATGCTCAAAATTCTCCAAGCCAGGCTTCAACAGTACAAAGATCATGAACTTCCAGATGTTCAAACTGGATTTAGAAAAGGCAGAGTAGCCAGAGGTCAAATTGCCAACATCCATTGGATCATTGAAAAAGCAAGAGAGTCCAGAGAAACAACTACTTCTGCTTTACTGATTATGCCAAAATCTTTGACTGTGTGGATCACAACAAACTGTGGAAAATTCTTCAAGTGATGGGAATGCCAGACCACCTTACCTGCCTCCTGAGAAATCTGTATGCAGGTCAAGTAGCAACAGTTAGAACTGGACATGGAACAACAGATGGGTTCCAAATCAGGAAAGGAGTACATCAAGGCTGCATATTGTCACCCTGCTTATTTAACTTATATGTGGAGTGCATCATGAGAATTGCTGGGCTGGATGAAGCACAGATAGAATCAACATTGTTAATAAACTATGCTCCAATATAAAATAAAAATTAAAAGAAAAAGATGCTGAGAGAAGCTTAAATAACCTCGGATATGCAGATGACACCACACTTATGGCAGAAAGTGAAGAGGAACCGAATAGCCTCTTGATGAAAGTGAAAGAGGAAAGTGAAAAAGCTGGCTTAAAACTCAACATTCAAAAAACAAAGATCATGGCATCTAGACCCATCATTTTATAGCAAATAGTTGGGGAAACAATGGAAACAGTGAGAGACTTTATTTTTGGGGATGTCAAAATCACGACAGATGGTGATTGCACCCAAGAAATTAAAAGATGCTTGCTCCTTGGAAGACAAGCTCTGACCAACCTAGATACTAAAAGCAGAAACATTACTTTCCCAACAAAGGTCAATCTAGTCAAATCTATGGTGTTTCCAGTAGTTATATTTTGATATGAGAATTATTCAACTATAAAGAAAGCTGAGGCCTGAAGAATTGATGCTTTTGAACTGTGGTGTTGGAGAAGACTCTTGAGAGTCCCTTGGACTCCAAGGAGATTCAAATAGTCAACCCTAAAGGAAATCAGTCCTGAATATTCATTGGAGGACTGATGATGAAGCTGACACTCCAATACTTCAGCCACCTGGTGCAAAGAACTGGCTTATTGGAAAAGATGCTGATGCTAGGAAATACTGAAGGCCAAAGGAGAAGGGGGCGACAGAGGCTGAGATGGTTGGATGGCATCACCGACTTAATGGACATGGGTTTGAGTAAACTCCAGGTGTTGGTGATGGATAGGTAAGTCTGGCATGTTGCACTCCATGAGGTCACAAATAGTTGGACACCACTGAGGGACTGAACTGAACTGAAGATGTAACTGAATTGCTGCAATCTCACCACAGAATTTTAACAGATGTGGTGTTGCTTTTTATGGATTAGCAAAGAAAGTGGTTTCTTGAGATGGAATCTACTCCTGATGAAGACACTGCAAAGACTATTGAAATGCCAAGAAGAAACTTAGAGTATTACTTAAACTTAGTTGGTATAGCAGTGGCAGAGTTTGAGAGGATTGAATATAATTTCGAAAGAAGTTCTTCTACTGTGGATAAAATGCTCTCAAACAGCATTGGTGCTATTTGTCCATGAACTGTCCATGAAAGGAAAAGTCAATCTGTGGCAAACCTCATTGTTGCCTTAGTTTAAGAAATTTCAATAGTTACCCTAATCTTCAACAACCACCACATTGATCAGCAGGCATCAACATCAAGACAAGACACTCTCCCAGCAGAACATATGACCCCAGATGATGGTTAGCATTTTTGACCAATAAAGATTTTTTTTTCTAAATTTTAAGGAATGTACATTGCTCTTTTAGATACAGTGTTATGGCACACTTAGTAGATTAATGTATAGTGTAAATATAATTTTTATATGTACTGAGAAACCAAAAAGTTAGTGTTACTTGCTTTACTATGATTTTCTGGATGTGAACGCACAATGTATCTGAAGTATGCCTGTATATCAGACATCTTATACCAAATGCTGTCTGGGGAATATTTAAGAGTGCTTTGCCTTTCCTAGTGTCTTAAAGTAATATCTAGACAAACCTGGGTTGTCAAGTTTGTGCCAACCAATTGTGGGTTGTCAAAATAAGAGGTTTATTAATTTATTTTTTTTTACATTTAACTGTCTGTCAGCCACTGTTTTTGATGCTCTATGTCTGTTAATGCTTTCAATGAAACTAAAGGATGTATATGGCCTTCTGCAGTGGCTCAGTGGTAAAGAAATTAACTGCCAAGGCAGAATCAAGCAGTGGGTTTGATCCCTGGGTTGGGAAGATGCCCTGGAGAAGGAAATGGCCACTCACTCCAGTATTCTTGCCTGGGAAATCCCATGGACAGAGGAGCCTGGCAGGTTTCAGTCCATGGGGTCGCAAAAGTCAGACACAACTGAGGGACTAAACGCCAACAACAAATATAAAAATATATATATATATGCATATGTAGACTTCCCAGGTGATGGCTAGTGCTCAAGAACCTGCTTGCCATGGAGACGTGACAGTAGTTCAGTCCATGGATCAGGAAGATCTTCTGGAGGAGGACATTTCAACCCACTCCAGTATTCTTGCCTGGAAAATTCCGTGGACAGTGGAGCCTGGCCTGCTACAGTACATGGGGTTGCACAGAGTTGGACGTGGCTGAACCGACTTGAACCGACTTAGCATGAGCACAATATGTATGTATGTATGTATGTATGTATGCATATATATATATATGTATGAGCACAATATGTATGTATGTATGCATATATATATGTATGAGCACAATATGTATGCATGTATGCATACATACATATTGTGGGAGATAGGTCACCTTGATTCTCTCACATTCCAGCTTGTCTATGACAATTTTTATTCCAGGTAATCTTTGTGTGTGTGTGTGTGTGTGTGTGCATAAAACGTCTTAATATAATTAAGAAAACTGAAATTATACAGAATTTATTTTTTCATCAAAACGGAATTGATATAGAAAATCAATTGTTAAAAGATGTCTCCAAAAACTCCCAGTGCATGTTAGTACAGAAAGTAACCTTTGAAGATAGAGATAATATCTCCTTCACGGGCAGAGGGTAGATTTGTTTGCTGTCCAGAATAATATAGTGTCTACACATAAGCAATGCTTGCTCAGTTTTCCTAGAAAATCCTTTGAAAACTGAGAGGGTTCCTAAGCTTAGATTTCATCGGTTATGACTTAAACTTCTGTGTACATAGACTTTATCTGGACCCATTTTCACACTGCCCCTAAGGTATTCAAGGCCCAAGGAAAACCTATGGGAACTTGAAGTTCATACTGTCTTCTGTGCTATGAGTAATGGAATCCTTTGTCTCTGATTTAAGAGTTTCATGTCTTCTGCCAGTACCTATGAAAATGCAGCACTTCAACTTTTATCTTGCGAGTAGAGTAAAACCTCAGGCTCTTCATGGTTCTTGAAAATTATCCCCATTAACTTCACTTTTCCTGGTTGAGGAAGCTGATTCACTATATGCTGAGAGACTCATCCAAGGTCACATAGAAAGTGGAGGATTTTGAATCTGAACATTCTCATTCACATATTGCATGCACAACCATTATGATGTGCTGTTACCTGGAAAGTTTCAAAAATATATTAAATTGATTTCATGAATTGTAGTCACAGATCTATTTTCTCTGCTAAACTGTAAAATTGTCAATGTTTGATCAATGAAAAGTATTTAAAATGTCTGTGTCTTCTCAAAGAAAGGTTCAATTTCTGTAAATCCCCCTCCCGCTACCCACTATGATCTCCCTGGCCCCTATATCTTTGCCAGGAATCCTAGTTAATGTACCAAAAGACAGAAATATGTCATCATTGTCAAGGGCAGTCTGATTAATTTTGCTGAATAGAGTATCTTACTAGCTGAAGGTTATTTTTTAATGAGCAGCCATACACACTGTAACTCTTGCTCTGTTGAATCTTAGCACTGACAAGAATGTGGAATAGGCCAGGAGATTTGGATACATTTATTAAATACAGAAGTCCCTCTAATGTATTTTCACCCCATATGTGTTTCTTTTTCTTGCTTAAAGGGGGTTTATTCTTCCATTTCCACTCTGAAGATTCTTTCTGAGATAGAAAAAAAAAAAAAGCTTTCTCTATGTTACTTGTTAGTATTGAATATCTTGTCCTCATCGACAGGATTTTCTATTCTTTGGAATTTCTCTGACTCTAAAAACAATTCCCTACATGGCCACTCTTAGAATTCTTAAAAATCAGGCCATTAATTTTACTTTTTATTCTATTGTAAAACTTGTATTTACACCACAAAACGTATGTTCTTCACTCCATTATTTGTGCTATGTTCTTCATTCCATTTTTTATTCTGAGATCTTTGGGAAGATCACTTGACAAATTATTTTCTGGATATGAACTTACATTGTTTCCTCCTCTTAGAAGTCTGTTTTCCCAGCCTTTGTTTAACAAACTCTTACTCATTCCCCAAGCATACACATATGAACCATATTACTAAGGATAACTGTCCTGCAAATCCAGGTTTGGTGGTCTACTTAGATGTACTATATTATTATCAACTTCCCCCCACACAGTACTTGTGACCATGATATTCTTGTCTGTGTTCTCTCTATTCCCCATTAGATCATAAACTGTACAAGCAAAGTCAGTCTCTTAATAGCACTAAACACTGTCTGTCATATAGTAGTCACTTAAAAATTTATTGAAAGAATGAAAGAAACATGGTGTTTTATGCATACTTTTTGGCTCCTCTTTGATACAATGTGTAGTGTATTATTCATCACATAGTCTGAGTTGCTGTTACCAGAGCTTCTAATACAATTCATCTTCTCTTCAGAACCTCATACTAAAAAATCATATCTCTTTTGTATGAAGTCATAGATTCTGCTATACAAAATACTAAAGGATATATATGCTTTTACCCAACTCTTTGCTCCCTGTCACAATGATTAAATTAAAGAGGTCATTTGTGTTCAATGTTCATATGTGGTCAGTTCAACTATGAACTGACTTCAACTTTGACACTTTTCTTACATTGTCAGATGAGAATCAGAAGAGCGCCAAAGTCCAGATAATTTGCCTACTATCTGGAAATGATACTGCCAGCAAGCATAGTACTAAAGAATGTGCTAACCATTGGACAGTTGCACTTATCTCCCATGCTAGTAAGGTTATGTTTAAAATCTTGTATGCTATACTTCAGCCTTATGTGAACCAAGAACTTCCATATGTCCAAGCTGGGTTTAGAAAGGGAAGAAATAGAGATCAAATTGCCACTATTTGCTGTATCATAGAGAAAGGAAGAGAATTCCAGAAAAAAACATCTACCACTGTTTCATCAACTACACTAAAGCCTTTGACTGTGTGGAACACAGCAAACTGTGGAAAGTTGTTAAAGAGATGGGAATACCAGACCATCTTACATGTCTCCTGAGAAACCTATATTCAAGCCAAGAAGCAACAGTTAGGACCTGTATGGAACAACTGATTGGTTCAAGATCAAGAAAGGAATATGGCAGGCCTGTCTGCTGTCACCCTTTTTAATTTAACCTATATAGAGAGCACATCATGAGAAATGCTAGGCTGGATGAGTTACAAGCTAGAATCAAGACAGGGAGGAGAAACATCAACAGCCTCAGATATGGGGATGATACCACTTTAATGACAGAAAGTGAAGAGGAAATTAAGAACATCTTGATGGAGTGAAGGACAAGAGTGAAAGAGCTGGCTTAAAACTAAATATTAAAAATCATAGGATCATGGCATCTGATCTCATTCAGTTCAGTTCAGTCACTCAGTTGTGTCCAATTATCTGTGACCCCATGGACTGTAGCACACCAGGCTTCCCTGTCCATCACCAACTCCTGGAGCTTGCTCAAACCCATGCCCATTGAGTCGGTGATGCCATTCAATCATCACATCCTCTGTCATCCCCTTCTCCTCCTGCCTTCAATCTTTCCCAGCATCAGGGTCTTTTCCAATAAGCCAGTTATTTGCACCAGGTGGCCAAAGTACTGGAGCTTCAGCATCAGTCCTTCCAATGAATGGTCAGGACTGATTTCCTTTAGGATTGACTGGTTTGATCTCCTTGCAGTCCAAGAGACTCTCAAGAGTCTTCTCCAACACCAAAGTTAAAAATTCCACCACAGTTCACCAATTCTTCAGCTCTCAGCTTTCTTTATGGTCCAGCTCTCACATCCAAACACGAATACTGGGAAAGCCATAGTTTTGACAAGATGAACCTTCTAGCAAATTAATGTTTCTGCTTTTTAATGTGTTGTCTAGGCTTGTCATAGCTTTTCTCCCAAAGAGCAAGCATCTTTTAATTTCATGGCTGCAGTTACAATCTGCAGTGATTTTCATCGGAAATAAAAGGGAAAAAGTGGAAGTAGTGACAAATTTCCTCCTCTTGGGCTCTAAAACCACTGTGGATGGTGACTGCAGCTGTGAAATCAGAAGACGATTGCTTCTTGGCAAGAAAGCAATGACAAACCTAGACAGTGAGTAGAAAAGCAGAGACATTAATCTGCCAACAAAGGTCTGTATAGTCAAGGCTATGGTCTTCTCAGTGATAAAGTATGGTTGTGAGAACTGGACCATAAAGGAAGAATGCCAAAGAACTGATGCCTTTGAACTGTGGTGCTGGAGAAGACTCTTAAAAGCCCTTTGGAGAGCAAGGAGATCAAACCAGTCAATCTTAAGGGAAATAAACCCTGAATCCTCATTGGAGGACTGATGCTAAAGATGAAGCTCCAGTGTTTTGGTTATCGGATATAACAACCGACTCATTGGAAAAGTCCCGGATGCTGGGAAAGATTGAGGCAGAAGAGGGCATCAGAGGATGAGATGGTTGGATGGCATAACTGACTCTATGGGCATAAGTTTGAGTAAACTCCGGGAGTTGGTGATGGACAGGGAGGCCTGGCATGCTGTGATTCGTGGGGTCGCAAAGAGTCGGACATGACTGAGCAACTGAACTGATGCAGCCATACCCTCCTTCTTTTTATTTTTTTTATTTTTAATTTTCAAAAATTAATTAATTATTTTATTTTACAACATTGTTTTGGTTTTGCCATACTTGACTTGAATCCGCCGTCTAAACTCCACATTCATCTGATCAAACTACTTCCTTGTTTAAAATTTGCTGAAACAGATCACCAGCCCAGGTTGGATACATGAGACAAGTGCTCGGGCCTAGTGCACTGGGAAGACCCAGAGGGATCGGGTGGAGAGGGAGGTGGGAGGGGGGACCGGGATGGGGAATACATGTAAATCCATGGCTAATTCATTTCAATGTATGACAAAAACTACTGTAATGATGTAAAGTAATTAGCCTCCAACTAATAAAAATAAATGGGGAAAAAAAAAAAAAACTTGCCAATGGCTTTCTCAGTAAAAAGTGTAAACTCCTTAATGTGTGTTTTTTTTTTTTTAATGATTCTCTATTCATCTTTCCTATTTTTCTAGCTAACCTAGTACACTTCACTTTCTGATCTCTTCCTAATGCTTCTATTCTAGTCATTAAAAAATTGGAACCTTGAATGCACTATATTCCATCATATTTCTTGTTTCCTCTGCCTAGAATACTTATGGAGAAGGCAATGGCTCCCCGCCCCAGTACTCTTGCCTGGAAAATCCCATCGACGGAGGAGCCTGGTGGGCTGCAGTCCGTGGGGTCGCATAGAGTCGGAGACGAGTGAGGTGACTTAGCAGCAGCAGCAGCATACTTAACATCTTATCTATTTACCAATTTTAATGTTCATGAACACTCAAACTGCTTCTAAAGTTTGACTGTTACGAATGAAAGTACAACAAACCCTCTGTATATGTGTTTTGGTGGATATAAGAATTCATTTTCTTGGGGTAGAATTCTAGATTCTAGCATCTTTTGGAGGGAAGAGTTTTAGCTTCAGCTTTTTAAAAATATAGATTATGATTTATATTTTATATGTCTTCTTGACTCAATTTTGCAGGCTAAAAAAAGTTTTTAAAATAAAAGAAATTGAATATTTTTCTTGGTGCTTGCAGCTTAAGACAAGTAAAAACAAAACAAAACTTTTTTAGAACTACAAATCTCCTTATAAAACAGAAGTTTTTATTTTTTTCTTCTTACTCCAACCCTCTTTCAGTCTTCCCTAGGCCATAACAAAGTACTATGTCTGTAATTAAACAGGGTCCTGCTGGTCAGTGTTCTAACAGCTCTTTTGATAAAAGAATTCAGCTACTTTCCTTCAAAGCAGGCATAAATTCTGCTGAACTAAATAGTCATAGAATATCTGTTAACGATGACAGTTTACAGCTATCGCAGTGGCTCCATTCACCCCCTGCCAGATAACATTCCCCCGCTCCCTTTTGGCAATATCCAGTCACTGAAAGGTAAAACTGGCTTATCTATATGTGGAAAGACAAGACTGTAAAAATTCAAAAGAAAATTTCTGTGCCCTATTCATCTTTGTGCATCTAGCTTTTATTACAATGTCTGTCACAAACTAAGTGCTCAGTGATGCTTGAAACAAAAACAAATTTTAAAATTTGGGAAAAGGCATAGAAGAAACAGAATTCTCTCACTTCAATTTCTTTCAGTATGTTTAGGATAAGAAATGGGTCTACCTGAATAATTTAGTGATATATGCCTATTTTTATGTTATGAAACCTTTCTGATAATAAGTGTAGAAAACACTTCTATTATTGGTCATACTAAATTTAGAAAATTTCAGGGTGCATTTTTTTTAAGAGAAAAACTTGCAGTTTGATTTGAAAACACGGTGAATATCAGGCAATACTAAATATTTGGGAAACTTAAACCAAAAGTTTTATTCTATATAGTCACACTTTTGTGCTGTAATGATTTCTTATGAAAGGATATCATACTTCTGCATAACTGGATCCAAACAATAATATTATACTAAACATTGCATGAATGTTCAATAGCATAGCTTTCTGAATAATAAAAGGGTATGGTGGCTTTAAAGTTCTCAATAAGTTGTCCATAGTACAGTCAGTTAAAAACAAATCTCAAGTTGGCAATTTCCATATAAAATAAATATTCACACACATTTAAGAAAGCAACAATGAAAACTTAATTTACAAATAGGTGGAAAGATAACCATTTTCCTCTTTGAAGATATAAAAACTTTAAAATAGTTTTTGTTTTTAATGTGGAGATCAAAATTCCTTGGTTAAAGAACAGGTTGATTTGCCAGGTGAACAAGGTGACCTCTTGACATTAAAAAGCATTAAGGCTAAAGCTATTGTACAGGAGCTAATTTTGTGCAAACCACGAAAGATTCTAGACTCTTTCATTTTTACCTCATGTCATCTAAACAGGCATTTAATTGGCTACAATGTAGTTCAATTGAGCCAATAAAAAGTATCATTGATTATAATCTCTATAGAACTGTAATGGTCACCATTTTTCACTGTATTGGCAGGCAAAATTACATTTTCTCTTCATCTCAGGTCACTTACCACCCAAATGAGCAATTGTTAACGGAACCAGATCATTAGCTCCACTGTACTGATTTCCGTGTCACCGCCTGAGTGCACATTTCAATGGGCAGAGAATATTCCAGGACGACTTTTTCTTGTACATGAGGAAGAAATTTGCTAAGTTTCGATAAATAGCTCCACTTATAGCATGAAGAATTACCTAACTGAAAATGCTGACCACTGGGTTGGGAAGACTAATGACTGAGAGTAAGAAGGCCGATTCTCACCTGCCAAAGAAAGAGAGAAAAATCTAAATTATTCAAGACAAGACAAATAATCATGGTAGTCATAATGATAAAATAGTAATGATAATTATACAATAGGAAGTTAATGGTTATTGAAACGTTAAGTGATTTACATATATTGGTTTGATTAGTCCTCAAACAACACTCTGAGGTAAAAGTAGAATTTCAAAGATAAACTAAAGCCTAGATGTGATAACACACTTAACAAGGATTGTAAATGAATAGAACAAAGGTCAACTTCTTTTTTTTTAACAGTGATTTTTTTTTCCCCAATTATTTATATTAGCTGGAGGCTAATTACTTTACAATATTGTAGTGGTTTTTGCCATACATTGACATGAATCAGCCATGGATTTACATGTGTTCCCCATCCTGAATCCCCCTCCCACCTCCCTCCCCATCCCATCCCTCTGGGTCTTCCCAGTGCACCAGCCCTGAGCACTTGTCTCATGCATCCAACCTGGGCTGGTGATCTGTTTCACACTTGATAATTTACATGTTTCAGTGCTGTTCTCTCAGATCATCCCACCCTCGCCTTCTCCCATACAGTCCAAAAGTCTGTTCTATACATCTGTGTCTCTTTTTCTGTCTTGCATATAGGGTTATCATTACCATCTTTCTAAATTCCATATATATGCATTAGTATATTGTATTGGTGTTTTTTCTTTATGGCTTACTTCACTCTGTATAATGGGTTCCAGTTTCATCCACCTCATTAGAACTGATTCAAATGATTCTTTTTAATGGCTGAGTAATATTCCATGCTGTATATGTACCACAGCTTCCTTACCCATTCGTCGGCTGATGGGCATCTAGGTTGCTTCCATGTCCTGGCTATTATAAACAGTGCTGCTATGAACATTGGGGTACACGTGTCTCTTTCAGATCTGGTTTCCTCGGTGTGTATGCCCAGGAGTGGGATTGCTGGGTCATATGGCAGTTCTATTTCCAGTTTTTTAAGGAATCTCCACACTGTTTTCCCTAGTGGCTGTACTAGTTTGCATTCCCACCAACAGTGTAAGAGGGTTCCCTTTTCTCCACACCCTCTCCAGCATTTATTGCTTGTAGACTTTTGGATAGCAGCCATCCTGACTGGTGTATAATAGTACCTCATTGAGGTTTTGATTTGCATTTCTCTGACAATGAGTGATGTTGAAAGCTCAACTTCTTGATTGGTTGAGAAGCCATAATGCTGATTACTAGCAATGGCCAACAATGTTTTATTCTGTTATTGTGTCTGTGTGTGCTCTGCTCCTTTGCTGCTATTGTCTATGAAAAGAACTCTTTTTATTGCCAGTGTCTCTTACTTGAACAGTAAGACATTTAAAAATCAACTAAGTTATAGTCGCTGTTCAGTTGCTCAGTCATGTCTGACTCTTTGCGACCTCATGGACTACAGCATACTAAGCTTCCCTTTTCCTTAGTATCTCTCAGAGTTTGCTCAAACTCATGTCCTTTGAGTTGATAATGTCATCCAGCCATCGCATACTCTGTCATCCCCTTCACTTTCTGCCTTCAATCCTTCCCAGCATCAAGGTTTTTTTAGAATGAGTTGGCTCTTCTCATCAAGTGGCCAAAGTAATGGGGTTTCAGCTTTAGCATCAGTTCTTCCAATGAATATTCAGGACTGATTTCCTTTAGGATTGACTGGTTTGATCTCCTTGCAGTTCAAGGGATTCTCAAGAGTCTTCTCTAGCACTGCAGTTCGAACGCATCAATTTTTCAGCCTTTTTTATGGTCCCACTCTCACATCCATACATGACTTCTGAAGAAACCATAGCTTTGACTCTATGGACCTTTGTTTGTAAAGTGATGTCTCTGCTTTTTAATATGCTGCCTAGGTTTGTCATAGCTTTTCTTCCAAGGAGCAAGTGTCTTTTAATTTCATGGCTGCAGTCAGCATCCACAGAGATTTGTTATAGTAGAAACTCAATTTTTTAAAATGACTGGCTGAATAAATGAGTAAACAAGTGATCAATATTCGTCAGTAAGAATATAAGCATTCAATAGCATTACTAAGATCTCAGATGAATCATATAGAGCAGGGGTCCTCCAACCCCCTAGGCTGCCCACCAGTACCAGTCTACTACCTGTTAAGAACTGGACTGCATAGTAGGAGGGGAGAAACTTGACTAGCAAGTAAAATTCAGCAGAACCTCCCCATCACTAATGTCTGGAAATTTGTCTTTCATAAAACCGGTCTTTGGTGCCAAAAAAGTTAGGGACCTCTAATATAGAGCCAAAGAAAATATGACATGTACTCACTAAACAATTTTTTTTTCTTTCTCTTGTTGCTTCATGGACTGTTAAATATCCTAAGTACACTTTAAATATACTTTTATGCATTGCTGATGTAATGACTTAAGTACATTGGTATAAATTTTGTATTTGAAATATACTGAAGGAAAGAAAGTTTTAGTGAATTCCTTTGCAGGGTGAAAAAATCTTTGATTTATATTTATCTTTTCTGTAGATGAGATTTTTATTTTTAATGAAGTACAGTCAGTTTTATAAAAATACATATATTCCCTTATTAACTGAAGGAGAAAAAGAAAACTTTGAGGATCAAAATGAAGCAAAGTGCAAATCATAGAATTAGTAACTAGTGAGCACACATCTGTGCACACTCCACACACACTACTTTGTCATTACATTTTGAAGTTCAAAGTGTAGGAAGTAACAGACTACAGAAGGGCATCCTACCCCCACCCCCCCACACACACATGTATGATGTGCTTGGGCCAACAAACTTTTGTACCCAAAGTAGGCCAGTTCACTCTTAGACCCTTTTGTAAAGGAGTAAACACCTCATTAGAAATAAATATACTTTGGGGGAATAAGGGGAAAGGGAAAAGAAATGAATGAAAGGAATCATAAAGAAAAGTCATCCACAATGAAATATTACTCAGCCATAAAAAGGAAAGTATTTGAGTCAGTTCTAATGAGGTGGATGAACCTAGAACCTATCATACAGAGTGAAATGAGTCAGAAAGAGAAAGATAAATACTGTATTCTAACATATATATATATATACATATATATAATCTGGAAAAATGGTACTGAAGAATTTATTTACAGGGCAACAGTGGAGAAACAGACATAGAGAATAGACTTATGGACATGGGGAGATGGGAGGAGAGGGTGAGATGTATGGAAAGAGTAACATGGAAACTTATATTACCATATGTAAATAGATAGCCAACGGAATTTGCTGTCTGGCTCAGGAAATCAAACAACCACTCTATATCAACCTGGAGGGGTGGGATGGGGAGAAAGATGGGAGGGAGGTTCAAAAGGAATGGGGTATGTGTATACATATGACTGATTCATGTTGAGGTTTGATATAAAACAGAAAAATTCTGTAAAGCAAGTATCCTTCAATTAAAAAAAAAATTAAAATGAAAAGCCAGTTAGTCTTAGGTAGTCCCATATAAATGGAGTTTTCTCTTCATGTTACACATGGTCATCAGTAGCGCTCCAGAAATTTAAGAAAATAAAGCATAAGCAAGTTGAGTCATTAACACACACATAAACACACTACAAAACAAAACAATGTGTTATATATTTAAAAATTACATTGTTGTTTTTCAGTCACCCAGTCATGTCTGATTCTTTGTGACGCCATGGACTGCAGCATGCCAGACCTCCCTGTTCGTCACAATCTCCCGGAGTTTGCCCAAGTTCATGTTCACTGCATCAGTGATGCCATCCAGACATCTCAGCCTCTGATGCCCTCTTCCTCTTCTTCTGCCCTCAGTCTTTTCCAGCATCAAGGGCTTTTCCAATGAGCTGTCTGTTTGCATCAGGTGACCAAAATACTGGAGTTTCAGCTTCAGCATCAGTGCTTCCAATGATTATTCATGGTTGATCTCCCTTAAAATTGACTGGTTTGATCTCCTTGCTCTCCAAGGGGCTTTCAGGAGCTATCTCTAACACCACAGTTTGAAGGCATCAATTCTTTGGCATTCTGTCTTTTTTATAGTCCAAATTTCACAACCGTTGTGACCACTGGGAAGAACACAGTCTTGACTATATGGACTTTTGTTGGCAGAGTAATGTCTCTGCTTTTCAACACACCGTCGAGTTTTGTCATCACTTTACTGCCAAGAAGCAATAGTCTTCTGATTTCATGGCTACAGTCACTGCCCGCAGTGATTTTAGAGCCCAAGAAGGGGAAATCTGTCACTACTTTGTTTTCCTCTTCAATTTGCCATTCAGTAATGGGGCCGGATGCCATGATCTTAGGGTTTTTTTTTTTTTGTTTTTAATATTTATTCTTAAGCTGTCTTAAGCTGTCTTACTCTCCTCCTTCACCCTCAGCAAGAGGCTCTTTATTTCCTTTTCACTTTCTGCTATTAGAGTGGTATCATCCTCATATCTGAGGTTGTTAGTGTTTCTCTCACCTATCTTAATTCCAGCTTGTAACTCATCCAGCCTGGCATTTCTCATGATATGCTCAGCTTATAGGTTAAACAAACAGGGTGACATCAGATAGCCCTGTCGTCCTCCTTTCTTGACCTTGAACCAGTCATTTGTCACATGCAAGATTCTAGCTTTTGTTTCTTGACCCACATACAGGTTTCTCAGGAGACAGTAATATGGTCTGGTATTCCCATCTCTCTAAGAGTTTTGCAGAGTTTGTCATGATCCACACAGTCAAAGGCTTTAGCATAGTCAATGAATAAGAGATGTTTTTCTGAAATCCCCTTTCTTTCTCTATAATCCCGTGAATGTTGGCAATTTGATTTCTAGTTCCTCTTCCTTTTCTCACTTGGACTTCTGGAAGTTCTTTGTTCACATAATGCTGAAGCCTAGCATGCGAGATTTTAGGCATGACTTTTAGACATGGAAGATGAGTGCAACTGTCCGATGGTTAGCATATTCATTGGTGCTATCCTTCTTGGGACTGGGATGAGGATCCACTTTTCCAGTTCTGTGGCCACTGCTGGGTCTTCCAGATTTGTTGACATAATGAATGGAAA